GTATCAGCACATTCTACTGTGATTGCATTATTAGTAAAATTATTTTTTTTTACAGAGAAAAAAGACGCTCATATGTCATTGATGTCATTGATCTCTCGATAAATTTGTTCTCAACACATAGTTTTCGCTTCACCATTTTTTTTTAACTTCCAATTACTCATTTCACCTTGTTTATATTCAATCAAATTTAATTAATCAGTCAGTCATAAGGTAACAAATAACAACACACGCTTTAATAGAGTCTTATCAACTTATCTAGGTAGTATTTTTAATTTTGCAAACAATGTATAGAGTAGAGTATGTCATGATTGTTTCCCTTTCAATTTATAATTGCTAAAATTTTCAAAATAACACATTCATGATCAAATGTTCACAATCCATTGGGGGAGGTATTTATTTTTTTGATCCAGTGACCAATTCAACTTTACTTCACACTATGTAGTTTCCTTTTTTTTGATAGCTGACAGTAAGTATTCTCTGATTTACTAAATTTAGTAATATCATAATAGTTGTATTCCAGAAAGTCATTTGTCAAATGCTACAAATCAATAATAATCTTAAAATCATAGATCGAAAGTGAGTTTATTCAAAATGAATAAAAAATCAATAATTCATTGATATTTATTGTTAATTCGAAAATTATTTATTCTTCAAAATCAAAACTTAACAATTGATGAGTAATAATAGCACATAAATACACTCATATGAGAATCCGGTTTTCAATAGTAGCACTATAATAGAAGTGAACATGAAAATTTAATTACCTATTTAGTGTGATCTTTTCAGACTGAATGATGTAACTACATGTACCGGAGACTGTTGTTGTTGTTACATAAACAAAGTATTTGTGATTTTTTGCTCTCCATTTATTTATATATGGTGTTTTTATAATCGTTACCGTTTGAGAATGTTGCACGTAGTGTTGCTTTAATGATTCTTTTTTCTTCTGTTTCCTTTACTGGTTTTGTTAGTTAGTCAGTTAGTTAGTTAGTCAGATTGCTTACAACTATGCCTTATTTTACCGCTCTCTCTCTCTCTCTTTCTCATTTACTACTCATGCTAATTACATGTTGTATTACAATATGTGAATAAACATGTCTACATTACATTTGATTGTAAACTATAGACGATAAACCAATTTCACCTCCTACTAATTTAACATGCTAATTCAGTCAGGATAATATATATATATATATATATATATGGGTGTATTTTATTTTCGAATGCGTTTTGCTCTCTCTCTCTCTCTCTCACACACACACACTCGGTATGGATTTTTAATTAAAATTATCCAGGATAGTTTTAAGTTTTCGATTTAATGAAACGTCACTTGGGTGATTTACAGATATTATAAATATTTAATGACACTATTGAATGAGTAAGTAAGTAACACGTAAACAAATAAGTATTTTACCAGACAAACTAGAAAAGTGAATAATACTTCTGTGTAGTCATCACACGTCAACTGTTATCTCGGAATTTCACTAGAACTTACCAAGGAAATAAAGAACCAATTTGTTGGGATGTTAGATCCCCAAAATTCGCTTGATAATACCGTATTCTGGTTTCCACGTTTTGCCAGGATGGGTTGATCAAATGACCTTGAGATTTCGATTCCCACCAGGAAAATCCATGGCTGTGATTGGCTGCTGTGTATTTTAGTGTGCTATTTTCTTAACTGTCTCAAGGACGTTCCTATGTTGTATAAATAAACGAGAGTTGTATGCTTGATTGTATTGTGTGATTGCTGGGTGTTTGTAGAATATACTTCTACGCTTACAAAGCCTTTTATTTCGACTTTGGGTATTCAAGGTAGCCTCCCTGGAAGCTGGTAAAAGTCTCGTTCGCGTTTATCGACTAAGGTAAACTCGTAATAGCCTCAAGCATACTAAGTGACGAACTTATCACAATTTAACCGAAACAACACAGCCAGTAGGAAGTTACCACCTATAAGGAATTGCATAAGAAAACAGATAAAACGACAAAACCCGACACCTGAACTATTTAAAAATTTCCACTATTCGATGAAGGAAGATAAGGCGTAGTGTCTTCATTTCTACACAATGTTCATGTCAATGATTTTAATTGCTCTAATCTACTGGTGTGATATGCGCCCAGTTAGTGCCTTTCTTTCTTATCTTACTTTTTTTCAAACACCTTAGTGAGAGCAACCTCGCACATTGAAATCGATGACTGTTGGGGATGTTAGATCCCCAGAACTCGCTTGATAAATATCATCTTTATTTTGGATGCATTTCATGGACCGATCAGTTGACCTTGAGGTCACATTTCCCACCAGGAAAATCCTTGGTTGTGATTGGTTACTGTGTCATTTTAGTGTGCTATTTTCGTGACTGTCCCAAGGACCTCTCTATAGAGTATAAATAAACGCAATTTTAGTGCTTGGATTCATTGTGTGCTGGCTGGGTGTTTGTAGAATACAATTTCTATACTATATCAAGACTTGTTGCTGATACCTTTTGGTCAAGGGATCACAGTAGCCTACCTGGACGTGTTGGTTCATTGTTTTGTTCTCGTTATTCGACTAAGGTGAACTCGTGATAGTTTAAGCATATCTAGAGTCGAGCGTAACAATGACTTTTAGGTATGACTAATACACGTTGGTGTGATGAATATACTTGTTTTGTCTTTAAAATTAACAAATTCTTAAATCGGATTCATTGTCGTGTGATCGATTGCGTTTACTATAAGCACAGTTGTATTATCTAGTCTGATTTATTGGTTTGTTTCGCTTATATTACCCCTAGAACCGGTGATTTTAAGTTGTGATTAAAGAATCTTGATGCTTTTTTGACTGCCAGAACAGGAATATAATAATATAACCGTACCCTATACATTCACTACTCAAAATTCATTTAGTAATATAGCTCAAGTAACCTTACTACACAACCACATCAAAAGTTACTATATATATACACACAATAATTCAGTCATAATCAATGCAAAAACTTAGCGATAGGTAAATTATTTATCAACGATAAATTTAAAACAGTAAGCGAAATATTACACAACGCCTTGTGTCAAACAAAAGCTTACAAATAGAACAATAATAAAATGGAAAAAAGTAACCCAATCGTCTAATCGAAATATGAACAGTTATTCTGACAATTCATTCTTTCTCCAATTGTTGTTCGACATGACAGCATTGCTTACTCGGTTGTCCCATGATAAACGAGCAATGCTTCATAGGTGGTGTCTCCGAAGCGTTGCTCCTATATCCTGGGACAACCGAGTAAGCAGTCTGTACGAGTACTAAGAAAGGATGGAGAATCGATAGATAAAAAGCATTGAAACTTTATCAGTTTAGGTGGTTGGGACATGTGTTACGTATGCCTAACCACCGACTGGCCTCGCCCAGCTATGTTTTACGATGTAGGAGAATAGGTTGGAAGAAAGCTAGAGGGGGCCCAGACCAAAACATTTCAGAAATCAATGAAATCACAGAAAAGTGGACTGAGTCATGTCGGTAGATGTAGACTACCTGGTTGGGGCCCGCGAGACGATAACAATAGATGATTGCAGATCTTGAATGACATGGCTCAAAACCGTTTGCAATGCACAGGTGCATTCATTCTTTGTATTCGCTCAAATCATAACCTTCAGAGTTCCTCATCACCTGTATTTTTTTATTTTTAAGGTTATTTCACTAGTTTGTACTTCTTGAATAATGTCGTCGAATCCTAGTCTCTCCGATTATTTCTCATACTTTTACTACCTCTATTACTATGGGTTTTGAATTGACAATAATTACATCCCTGTGCTAAAATATGGTATGGCACCTTGATTTGATGTACGTACGTACGTACGAAGTTCTGCGTTGCTGTTGATTGACAATTATTTCACTGCTATTCACACTATTATGCCCTAAAATATTTCATTTCATACTATGTCTGTGTTAGTCTGTGATAGGCTTTTTTTTTAGTTATTCTTCATATTTCATCTTGTTTACTTACTATATTTTTACAGTGCAAGAAGAAGTATCCAAACTAGAACGTCCAAAATCAAATGTTACTCAAACATTAGTAGCCAAATTTCAAGGATTAGAATCTGCAAATAATAATACAACTAGTACACAGAATTCCCTATCACAGGATCAGGTGAATTTTCTATTCATTTGACAAAAAAAGTTTAATAATCTTAAACTCTTTGCATTCCATCTCCAATGAGATTACAGTCATATTGTTGTCTATTGCTTAATTTTGATGAGATTCTATTAATTTTCTATTTTTTTTTTTGCTCTTCTAAATCCATAGTTTATTATTTTAAGGTTTAATGAAACATCATAAAAGAAATTATCGTTTATGCTAATTTAATTAATTTGAAGATGAATAAATTCGCTGTAGTTTTTTAATATAAGTCAGAATAAGTTTTGATTGACTAACTAATCAACTGACATCAAGCTGAGTGAAATATTGTCACGAATATTCAAAGTTTGACAATGTTACTGTCCGTACCACCGTTCAGATAGATTGAGAATACCTCAAATCAAATTGAACCAGAAATCCAGGAATGAAGAAGATCGGAAGTAGATTTGAAGCATCGTTGGGATATCGAGGATTGTGTGAACCGAACTTGCTAGTTGATGTGATGGAACGCATTGCATGGCTTACCCAACAGTGATTTGGTGCAAATGTATGTGACTGAACGCCTTTAGGCTGGGTGTAGTATCCCGTAGAACTAATAAAGTTAGCAATAATGTTGGAGACTTACTTACAGACTAAGCTATTTCAAAGATTTAAATTGAATTAAATTCGGTGTATAATTATCAATACGGTTTGGTTTAGAAGTGTCAATGTAAAATATTAAATAAAAATAATGCTTGTAAATATTACAGAGAAAAATATCATATTTTGGAAAACAGTTGTTCAAGCAATTTTTAAAAGATTTGAAATTTCACTGATATAATTGTCATCTACCTGAAAATGTTTTAGTAACATTTTACTAGTAAGTAATATGAAAAAAAAACAAGAATGATGATGGCCTACAAAATAAATTGTACATCAGTTAAAAGCTACATTATGTTATATCTATTCAATAAACAAGATAAATTATATTTCCCATAATTTTAACCAATTATTATGTTTTCAGATGCCAATAGTGGCTAATAGTGCAATCTAGGACGTGCGGTTCGTCCTATTTGAGTCTCATCAGCCGTATGTACCTACATCTCATTCTGGAAATTGAACCCAGTACCTTACGCTTCAAACGCCATCGCGTTATTCACTTAGCTACTGATCCCAGAGTAGCCACTTACTTGTGTAAATTGTTGCGTTCGGTTGTAAAATAATGTTAGGTAGTCATCGTAAGGTTGTAGAGATTTTCGGGTTTCGTTGAAAACCTGTATCAGTCAACGTAAAACCATTATTCAAAGCCTAGAAGCACTGGACGACTGTTTCTTCTTAGTGTGGGACTCCACCGGCAGTGCAGATCGACGATCCCGCAAGCGAAGATTCAACCCAGGACATTTGGTCTCTTGCGCAAACGTTTAACCTCTAGACCACTAAGCCAGCATCAGATGGTGTTATTGTTTAACTCTAATCAACTCACGATATTGAGTGACCTCATCCATTGTCTTTGGAAAGTAACTGCCTCACACCCAACACGGTTGAGATTCACTCGTCGCGGTTTCTCATTAAAAACGTGAGAATTCCCTCTCGATACTAGTCATTAATGAGCTAATGAGAATGGTCTTTATAGAGTCGTTGAGTTTCATTGTAGTATTTTGTGATGAAATGTGGTGTGGCTGATTGTGTGAGATATAGTGTATACAGCTAATATTCAAAATAATTTTATGACTTAACCGTTGAATAAACTAAAACGATCAGTTCAGAAAATAATTCTTTGTAAAGCTACTGTATTTCAACATATTATTTTGTCATTTAAAGAATTTTATCAATCCAACATATATAAAAGTGGTTGTCTGTTTGTTGAGTAGGATGTTCAATTTTCAACCGTTAAGCTGTTGGTCGACTAAGTAGTATCAGTAACCCTTACACCAATAACATGAATATGTACACCTGATCAATTAATGTATTCAAGAAGGAACAATTCTCTCCTTCAGTAAATGTGTGTTCATTTATAGACAAAAACCATACTTCTGTTAATGTGTGAAGAACAGTGTATAAATAAAGTCGATTCTATCCCTTTCTATCATTTATGAATATGTTTCCATTCTTTACTGAATGTTTTTTTTTACTTTAATTACTCCATATATTCTCATTTATGATTGCTTCAAAATATGCTGCTTAATTAATTATCTAGGTACCACGTAAAATCTATTTTAATTCGAATCATGCAGTACAATCTTCGGCAAACGGTGAAGTATTCCCATCGTCAGGTAGAGCTCGTCAATTGGTAGAACGTTGGAATAAAATGCCTCAAGAAAATAATAATCAGGTAGATTTGTTGATTTTGCTTTGGGAAAAAAAAAATCCATTCTCTTTTTTTAACCTTATTTATTACTAATACTGTGTTTATTTGTGGATATTGAGTAATGGTTATATTCACAATTTCTTTTCTCAATATCACAAGAATCTTTAATAGTATTGTGTAAATTATTTTGTAATGGTTTCAATAGATCGCTTAGATATTTAGATAGAGAGAATGTGTTGAAGTGTTTATGCAAGTTACCTGATGTTTTAAATGGTATACACCACAGCTCTATGCATTTTCGGTAGTTGATAAAACCGTTATGTTTATGCATGATGTGGGATATAAAGTAAGCTAAGCTATAAAGAAAAACACCAATAAAAATGGTTTTAAGTGTTTAAGAATTTCTCCTATATCTGATTTAACTTTTAATGATTGTGTAAATGAGTTAAGAACGGATAAAATAAACCGTTGGAAGGACAGTTGTGTGTATTTGAATAAATTACTGTCTGGCAAGAAAAGTAGACGGATTGGGCTTATAAGGTCAATTAATACACCTCTAGTCACTTTTACATCATTCATAAATGTGTATGTCCATCTAATGTTGATTTAACTTAATATTATGCTCATCACTTGATATGCTTGAAACTATTACGGGTGTACACCTTAGTCTAGTCGATAAACGAGAACGAGACACTGAACTACCGTCCAGGTAGATAGACTTCCCTGATCCGTTGACTAACGAAAAGTCTTGATATAGCGTAGAAAGTATATTCTACAAACACACGAATCGCATCTATTTATAATACATCATAGAAACGTCCTTGGGACAGTTACAAAATTAGCACACTAAAACAACACAGCAACCAATCACAGCTAAGGATTTTCCTGGTGGGAAATGTGATCTCAAGGTCAACTGATCAGTCCATGCTCGCAAACGTGAATCCAAAATAAGTCATTTATCAAGCGAGTTTTGGGGATCTAACGTCCCCAACGTTTATCATGTGGTGGAAACATAAATTCTGTCGGTCAACAAGTGATAAAGGATTTGATTATGAACAAAAAGATCCCTAACTCTGTGATGTATGAATGCGGTTTCCGCTTCCCAAGATTGAAGATTGTTTCTTCATGAAAGATCTGAAAAGAAAACTGTATAAATAATAGTCGTAACTACCTCGATGGGTGTCTAAAGTGTTCGATTGTAGTGGTGTTTTGTTCTCTGAGCTGGATAATTTGGTTTTGAAGCTTTCATTGTTCTTCTGAACAACATCATTAGCACAAACTTCAGATGGAAGTGAAGTATTCGATTTTCTCCACGTTTGACCTGTAGCTACAGGAAGAGAAAAGTTTTGAAACATGTAACCATATCTATATAGAAGGCCAGGGTAGATTATCGGAAATAGACAGGAATTATAATTCTATCACTAACTCTAATTAAATTCTGGTGTGTTTACTATTTATCTTGGAAGTCGTTCATTTGATCGTGGTAACTAAATTCTTCTAAAAGATGGTGAACACTAGCGATAAGTAAATATGTCACTAGATAAACTTACCAATGTACTATGGCAACCTGAACTGATGTAAGTACATACTAAGTTCTGACTAACTGACTGAGATATACTTACGGACATGTGATTGATAAAAATTTCAAATAAGGAAAGTGGATAAGGAAGACACTGAAGAAAAGAGAACAACACCGTAAGTCTGTCATACAATTAGACCCGGCGAAGGAATCACGTTTAATAAAGGGAAGGTATTAGGTAATCCAAAAATTCAAAATGTCTGTAGAAGTTCAAAATGTTTTATCCAAACGGAATTGAATAAAGGCATTTATTTCAGAAACGTCCGGAAAATGAAGGATTACGTGCCACACAGTTGACTTGCTAATCACCCATACTGCTTCCATATTTAATATATTTCTAGAAAGTTCTGGGAGGTCAGGTTCAAATACAGTCATACATACTCCTGGTTTTCTGTATATAAACTAACCTTGAAGTAAAGCGCCTTTTCTTTATTGTTCAGGTTGACGTGTAGAAGTAGTTAGCGGTTACAGCAAGCGGCTAGAAAGGCAGTAATAAGTTTCCCAGTGTAATGTCTAAGCGAGCCAAGACCGAATGAGTTAGATATGTATTTCGAGAAAACAGATTGTCTACGAAGTGCGTACACATAGTTTTCAATAATCTGTTTTCATATTGAGGAATCCAAAAAGTTATTGACCGTCTTCTCTCATTCTTCTGCTAGTCTTCAAATAATTCAATCACACGTTACACTTCGATCTCCTGACATTTCTCTCTGATAACAACTTCTAGGTGATGATTCGCTGCATATTATTTTTATGCCATTTTATTAGTAGCAGACTTATCAAGGGTCCTGGTTATATAGACCGATGGTTGAAATCAGTCAAATTTTACCTTATTCATTCATTTTAAGATTTTTGATAATTGGAACCGTAATCTTGCAATTATGATGTGGAGAAATTTCCTTAATTTAGTGTTTAACTGTTCATATCACTAGATTGGTACATTAGGTGTTATCTTCATACTTATAATTTGAACAGATTGCATATATGAGCTCTCTTCATTACCTAAATTTAAGTGTTGAAAAAGTTGAATGTTGACTCTGTTTGATACTTGAATAAATTAAATTCTTTATTGAATTTAGACTGTTGGTCGAATTTCGCCTGAAATAAATGGAAAGTCTCATGTTATAAACCAACGAAAATTCTTCCCAGTAGAACGTAAGTTATACAATGTTCTTACATGCGTATATTTGTAAATTTATACAACTTAGATTTTATGTAAATGTGAGTGTTACATACTTAGATGAAAGCTAAATATTATATATATATATATATATATATATATACTCTAACATAAATTTGAATAATCCGTTTAGCGGAAAATCAAAAATTATTAAACCTAAACAGCTCCAAATGTAGATAAAAACTAACTATTCAAACAAAAGACAGTTAACTCGATATTTACAGAATCAATTTTTTTTAACATTTACAAACTTAACATTTACAAAACTTACTGTTGCAAAAATTCTGAAATTTTGTAAGACGAACTTTCAAACTACTCACAAGTAGTTGAGCGTAATGTTTCATTAATTTATCATCTGCTAACGTTCAATCCAGTTTATTTAAAATCAACATTTTTTTCTCATATGACGCAATTGGCAAAGCTGATAGATATATTTATGGTATAAATTAGACAAGGTGTGGTGTAATTATCTCAGTTATTGTTTATTTGGTGCATATAATTTAAAGTATATTTCATTTTCAATTGTACCCATTTTTATTCGTTTATAGTACATTTAAGCTTTTGTGATCATTAGTCCTTTTTTTTAATGTCTTAATTATTAGAAATTCTTTCAATAAATACCTAAATGACATTTTTTGTGTAGATCAAACACCGTTTTGCCATATTACTGGGCAAATATTCTTTTTCTAATGACATGTGTCTGAAAAATGTTATTGTAAAGAAATAAATTTAAAATGTTCATTTCATAATTTTCTTGATCGAATAAATATTTCAAGCATAAAACCGAAAACCGGTTTAATTTTTACGCTTAATATACTCTATTTAAGCATTAGTAGTAATAAGCTGTTATGGTATAGGTGATAATCGACACGTAAAAGCTGATCCGTTCTTCACAAGTGATGTGAAGATCATAACTTTTGTAAATTCGTTGTGACTTACAGTGTCTTAGAATTGATAATGACACGCACTTTGTATGCAAGAACCCGATTATATATATATATATATATATATATATATATATATATATATATATATATATATAACTTATTATTTCTTTACGCTTGGTATCCGTAATGGATCACACGCAACCAACGAGCGTTCTCCAACCAACTCCGTTCTCGGCGTTCCTTTCCAGTTTTAACCAAATTCTGTTCATTATTTCCATATCTACCTCCTATTACTGATGCGATGAGTTCCTTCATCATTCTCTTTTCTTTTAGCCTTGAGGGTTTCAAGTTAGGACTTGCCTCCTAATGTAGTTGGGTCATTTCTGCAATGTGTGTCCTGTCCACCTCCAGCGCTTTTTCCTAATTTCTTCCTCAGCTGTAGGCCTGGTTTGTTCTCTCACACAATAGATTGGTACGGATGATGTCTGTACTCAGTATTTTGTGTAGACAATTGTTAATAAACACTTGTATACTCTGGATGATGGCTTTTGTAGTTCTCCAAGTTTTCACCCCATACAGTAGAACTGTCTTAACATTTGTTCTGAAAATTCCGAAATAGGTGTTTGTTGAAAGTTGCTTCGAGTTCCAGATCTTCTTTATTTGTAGAAATGCTGCCCTTGCTCTGCGAATCCATGCCTTCGCATATGCCTACAATGATACCTTGCTCAGATATATAAAGGCATCTGCACCCTCCAAGGCTCGTCTATCAAGTGTGATTTGGTCGGTGGATGTTGTTTTGTATCAAGGGATCTTACTTTTTCCCATGTGTATGTTGAGGCCTACTGTCACACGGGTTGTCTTCGTCTGCATTTTATGATGTGTGTGGAGTAGAAGAGTTAGATTATCTGCTTAGTCCAAATCGTCTAGCTGCATCCGAGCTATCCAGTGTATGTAATGCTTCCCTTGAGATGTTGACGTCTTCATAATCCAGTGAACCAACAGAAGAATGAGAAAACGTTAGAGTAAACAACCTTGCGTAACACCAGTCTTCACCTGGAATGAATCTGTGAGCTGTCCCCTTGCACAACCTTGCAGTTTAATCCATCACAAGAATCGCGTATTATGTCGACTAACTTCGTTTACCAATGATTGGTTGTGTCGTACTCGATTGATCTTTACGGAATCCAGCCTGTTGATCTCAAAGTTGGCCGCTTACTGGATCTTTCAGTCAATCCGATAACACTCTGTTGAAGACTATTCCCGGTACTGAAAGAATATTGGTTCCTCTGTAGTTCTCGCACTTGCTGAGATCTCCTTTCTTTGGTATATTTATGAGGTGTTCTTCTTTTCAGTCTGTTAGTACTTGTCCTTACTCCTGAATCTTTCTGAACGGAGTGTGGAGCATCTTTGCAGTTACTGCTCTGTCTGCTTTCAATACCTCAGTTAGTCCTTCTGCTTTCACACTCGTGATTTGTCTGATCGTCATAGATGGAGCATGACAGCGTCCCTCCCGAAGCTAATCTTTCCTGTCTATTCTGTGTCCAACGGGTTTCACTTATTCATTGCACCATCAGGTTGTATATTTTCATTTCCGCAGCCATTTAAATAGTTACCCTGGTCTCCCACTATATGCGAAAATTCCATATGCCTATAATAATAGTTGCTCTGATAATGTGAAGGGGCATTGTCCTTGCGATTCCTGATGAAACTTAGCCTTCGCCATGGGGCATCATAACTATTCTGAGTGAAAACCTTCCAACTGCCTAGGCAGAATTGAAATGCTTTGAATTAGTTTATCTGGTTCGCGTTTTATTTGCAAGTTAGTTTTTTACGGGATAGGGTCGCTAACCTCATGTCCAACCCTCCTTTTCTTATGAGGGTTTGGGACTGACAATAACCCTAAAAAGGGCTTCAGGTGGGGTTATCCATATAAGTTTATATTTGTTGGGAAATTAACTCAAGTAGTGTTTGTGTATCATCCTGTTTAAATGAAGTCAATTTATTGATCGATCAGTCGTAATCGTCATTTATCTGTTTGTGGTAGGCCCACTGTATCGGAACATTTTCTTCGTTCTAATGTTGTATAACTGAAATTTTAAATTGGGCAATTGATAACCATTTGACTTTAAGTTAGAAAATATACTGGACAAAATTCATAATACCAGCTAAATAATAAGGATATTGTAAATATCTGCGTGTGTATCTAGATTCATGTGTCGGTTCATATATTTATTTGATGCTGTGTACATATGAGAAGACTGATGGAACACTCTATTTGCACACCATCTTTGAGTCCTGACTTCCAACGCTCCAGCCTTCTTCCATTCCTGCTGTTGCTTCCTTTACTTCCTGTTGGTACTCCATTTACTTCTTGCTTTTGCTCCATTTGCTTTCCGTTTTCCTCTTCTGACCGTGAGACTTCTTTCACGTCCCTTATACTATTTATATCGTTCGTATAAGTAGCACACACCACATATACAGTTTTTAAAGCTATCATAACATGTTCCAATTAATGAACTTAAAAATTCTATGCATAATAATTCAAATTATGATTTTCCGTATTGTTTTTTCTTAGCTAAACCATTGACGAAAAAACCTATTGAACCAAAGCCAAAAGTTTTGGTTAGTGAATTAAAACAAAATTTCAGTCCTAAACGTGAAGATGAAGCTTAGTAAGTTGAATTCAATTGAAGAATGAAACGAATTTGTGACTTTTCCATGATAAACTTTGACTTGAGACATTTGATTTGATTGACTGGGTTTTTTAGGCAATTAACTAGATTTGCTCCGTCAAGGTTTAACGATATTAAACAGTGTATTATTAGAAACAACGAACCTCGGAAAAATTGTTCTGTTGTATTTTAGGATTTCGCAGCTGTACACATTCAGTAAGAGATTGAACCCATGACATTCGAAGTTTCATAACCAATATACATTACCTTTAGTTCCACTGCATAGTAAAGAGCATAACACCAGCTAATATCACTACTGGTAGCTAACTGATTCATTCTCCACATGTTTCGATCCCACCTGTCCACAACCTTTCACTAGAACTCTACAAATGAACTTCGGAGTCAGCCACTTGTTTCTAATTGTTCTCCCTAAACCAATTTGCATTCTGCGTTCAGTAGATTATTACGCAAGTGATGATATATATATATATATCTTCCGACACCAAGTCTTTTTTACACTCTTAGTGGTTGTTAGGTCACTCAACCTTCAACTAATTAATAGGATCATAACATAAAATCCATTTCAACCGACTTTTTAATTTAAGCAGCCGAATATTATCACAATAGCCATCATTCAAATAGCCTGTCTCGAAGCTAGCCAGCTACGTAAACCTGCTACATGTTTTATTCCCTCTTCTTGTATTGACCCGTTTCAAAGTATCATATTATCCTAGTGAATTGTTGCTTAATAATCATTGCATTGTAGGTTTAAGCGAACTGATAGATAGATATGTTACATCATTTATGTAATTTTATTTTTCCTCAAAATGACGACAAATGTTTCTTTCTTTTAGCAGTTCTTCCGAGTCAACTGAAAGTGGAAAAATCACTCAATATCATGTGACAACAAATGGTAAAACAAATGAATTTCCAACTCCAGGTATTACACGAAATCTAGTAGCGAAATTTTCTGCCCTCTCTGCTGCATCCTAATGTTGTTATTCTTACTTTTTATTATTATCATAAAATCAAAAAAAAAAAAATGGCTTATTAATTAATTCCATAATTGATGATAATGACAATGATTGACTAGGCGAAACAATTCAATCATCAATGATAGATAGAGAGATAGAGAGATATACACTTTTCTTTCTAATTCTCAAGTTCATCATTTACTACTAATTAATATACGCTTTTAATTCAATTTTTTGTTGCAATCTTAACTGTCATCTCTTTCTTATGCGGATCCGATTTTCTCACAACAACAGATTTTCTCAAATTATCTCCGTTTATATATTATCTTCTGCATTCATTGTGTTTATTTATTAACGTTGCTTGTATTATTATTCACTAGTAATTCAATGTTGTTCTTGTTCTTGTTATTATTTGGATTAAAAAAGAAGTAAAAAAGAACGAACTATCAAACCCCCCCCCCCCATTCATTATTATATGCTAATCATTTTATTATTATTATTATTATTGTTGTTAATGTTGTCTATATTTCTTGTTAACCTATAATACTTCGTCATTTCACCTTCTTGATATATATATATTGGTTTACTTCTCTGTTTGTTCCATCGAATTTTATTGCTGTTGATTCGATTTTGAGCTTTGATTGATTGATTGATTGATCTGTTGCAGTCAGTATTCATTGTGTTCATTTTTTAATTGTTTATGTCACATCCTGTTTTTACTTATCCTACATACATACATACATACATACATACATTGACATTTGAATAGTATGTTTTCTGTTTTTTTTTTGTTCACAATTGATGAATTTAGTCATGTTTTTCATTGTCCTATTGGATGCTTTCACTCTGTTGTCCATCTTGTCTCTCTCTATATCCTTGTTATTTCTGTCATACCTCTATTCTTGTTTGATAATGTTTGAATAAAAAACTGTGTTTACCATTCTATGTGTGTGTTATTTGATCGAGTAAAATTTAATTTAATTACAAATTAAAAGTTTTATGTAAGTTTTCATCGCAGTCAAATTAATCGCCGCTTATATAGTAGTTCAGTCAGTAGTAGTAAAGTTTGACTCTTATGGAGTTTATTAGTTTCAGGCATGTGATAAGTATCATTTAGCATAAAACATTATTTCCATAACTTCCTTCTGATATTACCTGAGAATAAATGACTTAAGAATGTTAACTAATTTTGAACTTTCTGTGATTGGTACTCACAAGAAATAAAGGTTAAATTAGTTTATAGATTTTTGTATTTAACTGAATAGATTATCCCCAACCGTAGCTGCTACCTTGACGTGGTGGTCGGGCTTGCCTGTCGTGATGACCTAACCGTGCTATATTGGCTGGAACACATGTTCCTGAAGGTTCTACCATGCCAGGCACGTCGATTGGAGAACTATGAGACTAAAAACAGCTACTCAAGGTCTGAGGGTGAAGTCGGACTGCTGACCGCAGAGGGGTGTGACAGCAGTAAGGTGTTTCCCCCGGACAATCAGCATCTACAGCGATGCTGTTTTCTCACAAGGAAGGAATGGTTAGAAAAGGTCGACCCTAAAAATGTCACACCTCACAAACTTCCGTCTCCGGCGATAAAACCTTTAAAAGAGAACAGAGCTAACACTTCGAAAACTCATAAAACGGCCGCGCTTGACCGGCCTAAAGCAGTTGTTCCTTGGGCTCTGCGCTCACGCAACCAGGTCTCTAAGAACGACTCTAATATACCTTCTTTTTCAGGTCCCTCAAGAAACGACCTTCCACGGTGTGGACACCTGGGAAGTGACAACCGCCCTCATACCCGTAACAGCACGCGAGACCAAATCGGTAAAAATCAAAGAATAGATCATCATATTGATACGTAATATTAAAATGTTACGTTTATTTGTTTCTAAACACCTAACATGAAGTTTAATATTATGAACTGGTTGCGGTATTAGTTATTTTTCAACAGAGTACTAATTACCCGTTTGTGTTAGTTTTCTTCAAATCGTTTTGTGTTCTAGTTTTAGTCTTTAAAATTCTTTCGAATACAACTGACTAACTGCATACATTGTCCTTGTTACTAATCTCATGATGTCTATAGATATATATTCATCAATGCACAATAGCCTATGCATGTGGCTTAAAATATACATCTCCATTGTTAAAATATTTGATGGTTGAAGTAGTGTAGATGTAATGTCTACCTATCTTATAACAACTGATTAGTTTTTTTGGTCTCTTATTACTAATGCTTCGTTGGTAAAATTGTAATGAACGAGAACACAGGTGGGGCAACCGAATTGTATTTAACGAAAATTACAGAGTTACTCAGTAAAATCGGAAAACCATATCGTAAATTGTTCATTTGCAAAATATCAGTTCATCCTATGGAACTGGACTGTTCCTGTTGCAAAACATCAATCCATTGTCACTATTCATGCGTTTGATACAAATTCCATTGTTTTCTAACTCTTCCTTTCTTGATCTTTCCCCATCTTCGGCTGCCAGACATTACGTTGACGCTCACGTCATATACTACTTATAAGTAGCTCGCACCACAAAATTAATGAATGGGTCAATGTTATTAAAAAATACACTATTAATAATCGGACTACAGTATGAGTCATGATTTCCTACCACAATTAAACAAAAAGCCAACTTGAAACTTGTATGACAACAAGAATTCCGGTGTTCATTATCCACTCTTTCCATAATGAAGTGCAAATACTGATATAATTGATTGAAAGGTGTTAGCGGGACATAGATGGGATTGAAGCACGTTTGCGTCAGCTACACGCTGATTGGCTAATTCTCATCCAATAAGCGCTAGCCGATACTTGGAGAACATTCTAGAAGCTTTCCATGTAAAAACTACCAAGATACTAACGTTGTTCCTATTTCGCCTTCGCTTCGGCTTGTTACTTCCATTTAACATTGCTATTTGGAATCTAATCTTTGCCTGTTCAACTGTGTTCTGATTTGGGGACTTATTGAGTGGTTTGGTGTCCGAGAATACTAAGCAATAGGAATAGCTGGGTTCTACTAATATAAAATTATTACGAATGGATTACCAATATAGAATTTCGTCTCAAAAAATTTCAAGATTTTACTAAATAACATAAGAGTAGTCAACCCATCTACTCTGAAAGATTTTTCTCAACAACATCATGTAGTGTGTACTTTAATCAGAGATTTCGGTATTATATTCTTAGTTCATGAACTCTACAACTAGTAGAAGCAATTAGAATGAAATCAATGAACCTTGTCGGTTGTGTGATTTTATATGAGACATTTTTATTCTGATACAGTAAATAAATCATTTGTAAAATGACTGATTAGGAAATTTCTGAAAGCACATAAATGTAGGGGATGTTAGATCCCCGAAATTCGCTTGATAATGCCGTATTTCGGTTTTCACATTTGCCAGCATGGGCTGATCAGATGGCCTTGAGATTTCAATTCCCACCAGGAAAATCCATGGCTGTGATTGGCTGCTCTGTATTTTAGTGTGCTATTTTCTTAACTGTCTCAAGGACGTTTCCATGTTGTATAAATAACCGAGAGTTGTATGCTTAATTGTACTGTGATTGCTGGGTGTTGTAGAATATACTTCTACGCTTACAAAGCCTTTTATTTCGACTTTGGGTATTCAAGGTAGCCTCCCTGGAAGCTGGTAAAAGTCTCGTTCGCGTTTATCAACTAAGGTAAACTCGTAATAGCCTCAAGCATACTAAGTGACGAACTTATCAATAAACCTTGTATATATATCCTATAAGCTTGAAACTTCTTTTTATCCTGATGCAAAATGCTATTTGAAATTACTATTTACATAGTTTTACACTTGTTGGTTAAGTCGCATTAGAATAACTTTAGCATATCATTCATCATCGTCAAATAGTTCACATTTTATGATTATAAAATATTAACAATGTTTCCCTGAGATGATTGTTTTAAACATGGAGCTCTCATCATCTGTAATGCAGTGGAACACTTTTACGAAGGAAACGCAATTAATGAAAAGGAAACTTTTATTATTGTACTCGTTTTGTTTAACTGTACTAAAAACGCTTACTTACGCGTGACCTTTTTTCGCGTTGCTGCCATCCTTCATAACCTGCCCTGGAATTACTTGTATTTAATATGACGGGATAGTAATTAGTATTTAGTGATGATCATAGTCAAACCCCCTCCCTCTGGAAAGGATGAATCCATTCTATACGTAGCTGTTTCGTTCTTAAAACTGATCGACAAACGTGCGATTGCATAACATAATGGCTGACATGCAGGAGGCGATCCACGAGCCTGGAGTTGTCATGCTGTCATATAGTGGATTGCTAATTTTTAACGATTTCATTAAACACCATGATAACGCTTGAAAACCCATTCGAACACCTTGAGCCGCATTTTGTACCGTCAGCTGATTTATACTGTAGAGCTGAGGGATCAGCGTTGTATTCATGTTCAGTAAGCTATTTGATATTCCGTGATCCGTTGTAAGGCGTTCCAACAATTTGGTGAGATGAATGATTTGGTTAGAGCTCAATGACTTTCCTCTAGCTCTGTCATCACATTCTGTTACCTTCCAGCTAACCTCACAGCTTATGATCATACTTTCTAAGATCAATCTCTTAGGTGTATGAAACCAGGCCTATATGTTTAGTGAAAGCGTTATCAAATTAGCTAAAATCGCCCACTTAAGACCGTTTCAAATTTGTACAAGGTTCATTCAAACTTCGAAGTAATATTCGAATTTATAGAGCTGATTCGTCAACTTATGCCGAGATTTCTACTTTATGAATGTATATTTTGAAGACTGTTCTAGTGCTGCATAGGTGGACACTGCTCTAATAACTAGTTTCTGCATTAAAAAAACTTTCGTAACATGATGGTGTAAAAGCATGATAAACATATACTATGAAATTTATCCTCATTAGCTGAATTCTGATGTCTCTGTGATAATCACTCATTCTAACTGGCCAGTTAACATTTCTAATCTTAAGCTTTTAGCTTCTCTGTTGCTGCGTTTTTCACTGTGCTGCCGGACGGTGGAAGACCTATATATTGAAGATCTTCATAGTATTTTGATTATATAACTTCTTTAAATGACTACGTCTGACAGAACGGCAAATTTTCACATAAAATTCTTTTACTTGGTTTTTAGAAAATTCGATTTGTTATGAGGAACCTAGTCAACATTATTACCTCGGTGGCCCAGACTCTAAAATTCGGGCATAACATTCAAGCTAAACGACAAGTTCTGTGACGGGGTATTTAAAATTTAAGCATGGAAATCAATCGGGGTTGCTTCTCTCAGTTCATCAGGATGAACAATGTTCGAGCTATCGGATGCTTCCTCACTTAGTGCTGTAGTTTCGGGCACCCCGTTCATATATTTAGGTCTATTTCTGATCTACCTTTGAGCCCCTTGTTGATACGAGTTGTAGAAGACGGTTTCTCTATGAGTCATCACACTCATCGCTTGTTCGGCCACTAGGATCCAGCGACTAGTTAATTCCTGCTTAGGCTCTGTGAGAAGGAGCATCATGACAAAACAAGCTTTTCTGAATAAAGGAAAGCCCACCAGTCAAAATGATTAATTGCTGGTGCTCACCAGTTGATGTTAATCAGTTTCTAGTTCATTTGAACCAATTACATGCTCTGTCTCTGCTAGTGTCTATTAGAATCCCGCTCAACAGCATCCTCCTAATTTCAAAATTTGAAGAGCCGAGCTCCGTTTGAATTTCGGTTGCTTCGAAATGTTAGGGACCATTTATGAACACTTCAGATCGTATATGAAACTAGGTACCAGAGTGTATCTACATACAATGAAGCTTTCTGCCCACCTAGTGTATTTTCATTGTGCTTTCGGGCTCAACCGTTCGAAATATGTTGTGCACAGGGAATTTTAGTTAGGTCTTACGAAAAAAATGATCACTTGTTCCCTAGAGATCTGAGGTTGGAAAACCGCTGTTTATGAACTTTTTTTCAGGATGGACTCAAAGTAAGACA